ATCTTATCTTATCTATCAATCTATCTATCTTATCTATCTAATCTATCTATCTTATCTATCAATCTATCAATCTTATCTTATCTATCAATCTATCTATCTTATCTATCTAATCTATCTATCTTATCTATCAATCTATCAATCTTATCTATCTATTGATCTATCTATCTTATCTATCTATCTTTATCTATGTACCTTATCTATCTACCTACCTACCTACTTACCTATATATCTTCCTTATCTATCTATCTACCTACCTATCTATCTCTGAACTTAGCTCTGTAAATCACGCTCAGCATTACAAATTGTTCTTCACAGACGTAGTGATGTCAGCAAGGACACTCATCCATCTGTTCCAGTCACTGAATCCACAAATGTTGCAGAAAAAATTCCGGGTAAATAATTATTTCATTTTTATGTCAAAGAATGAACTGATCTCTGTTGATGCCTCCTCCCTCCCCCCCCCCCCGAAATTAAAAGCAAAGAGCCCAGCGTGATGAAGAGTTGGTGTGAACTTCTGAATGAAAGCTTTAGTCCTGGGGTGTCAAATTCGATTTCATGGAGGGCCGCATCAGGGTGTTTGATCTTGGGTGTGGCCAGCTCGATGTCACTCGTATTGGCGGGGTGTGTGTGTGTGTGCCTGCGGGACCCAAGCACTCTGTCAGAGAAAGTGGGCTCCCGAGCTCCGTTTTAGGCTGCGACGGCCTCCTGCAACCCTCTGCCAGTGAAAATGGAGCCTGGCCGTGACCCTCCCAAGGTCTGTTTTCACTGGCAGAGGCACCGCAGGCCGGTCCTTCGCTATCTCCAGGGAGGCCCCGCTGGCCAGATCTAAGCACCTCACGGGCCAGATCTGGCCCCCAGCCCTTGAGTTTGACATCCCTTCTTTAGTCTGTTGACTTCATTAGTAAGTCACATCTTATGTCCTATCTCTTGTTATGTCTGCTCTGTATCTTCTGCTTTTGATTGATTCTGGAGTTGTAGCTGTTCCGATGGGACTTTTTTTGCCATTGGCAATTTGGTGGGCGTTGTCCATGCTGGCTTGGAACTCCCTTTGTACCTCTTGGGGTTGTAGAAGACAGATCTGGCTTGTTTGAGCTGCTTTCTGTGATTGCCATCCATCGTCTTTAGGCCTTCGATGGCATCTTCTAAAACAGAGGTCTCCAAACGTGGCCACTTTTAAGACTTGTGGACTTCAACTCTCAGAATTCCTCAGCCGGCTGGAGAATTCTGGGAGTTGAAGTCCACAAGTCTTAAAGTCAGCACATTTGGAGACCCCAGTTGTAGAAGCAAGAGAGAAGATTCCCCAAACTTGAAGCCATCCTAGTTGCCTTGGAGCATCCTTTTTTTAGAAATAAGTATCTCAATAGCATGTAGTGTGTCAACTCGCAAGGCATCCCTGGCCTGCTCTCGAGTTGCCCTAGGCAAGGGGGATGGGGAACTGACGACGCAGCACGGCAGCCATAAACAGAAGCACATTCCATGCATACATTTCTCAAGGCTGTCTCCCAGGTTACCCGCAGCAGCCGGAGGGGCGTGATCTCTACAGCCCCCGAAAATGCTCCGTTGTTGGAGAATGTGATTTATGACACACTCTGGGGGAAGGGGGAAAACAGGGTCATAATTGGGTTGTAAATTACGTGGGGTCAGAGATGGCTTCACTTGGGCACCTGCGGACATGTTGCTCCTAATAACTGGATTTCTTTTGAAGCTTGGCTCGAGACTCATGTTTAATTAGGTCATCCCTCTGGAACCTTGACATAGTATTCATTAATCATTGATTTGTCTGTAGGGTAAACCAACAGAAGCCACATCAGAAGCCAAGATCCACGAATACGGGGAATTGGATGTCAAAGATTATATTCCGGGAGCTGAAATCCTGGCGCTCGAGAAAGAAGGAGAAAACGACCTTGAAGAAGAAGGAGGTCAGTTTGAATTTGGCATCCATACATTTCTGCTCCTCCTAGTTAGGAATTCTGGGAGTTGAAGTCCACAGGTGTTCGAGTTGCCCAGGTTAGATACTCCTGATTTAAGGTGTGTAAGGGGTTATCTTACATCGTCTTAAAAGGCTAATTATATTGATGTATGGCCCCTCCCCTAGGGAATAAAAGAAGAGCAAAAGGGGAGTGGAGTTTGCAGGAGACAATTAGTTTGCTTAATTAGTTCGTGACTCTCCGAGGCTCCTTGCCAAGTTTTGCAGATATCAGCCTGGCAGCTCTCCAAGCCAGATAAGGTCTGTGATTGTAAATCCTCCCTTGAAAGACTTTGCTGGATGCGAATGAGCAGAGTTCACAGTCAATTAATAAAAGGGGGTTTTGTCGAGGCTCTCTGGAAGCCTCGGTCAGAACACCCTCTCTTAAAAATATTTTTTTCCATTCAGTTGCACCGCTCATATTTTTTTAAAAACTTCTTTCTAGATGGTTGGGAGACAGCCAGCTGCAGCGAAGAGGAAGACGATGAAGAGGGAGAATGGGTGGACGTCCATCATTCCTCGGATGAGGAGCAGCAGGAGATAGTAGGGCTTTCTTTCATCCTTACATGTTTTTAACCAAAGAGTTTCCTCTATAATTGTAACTATTCTTTGCTAAGTTCCTAGCTCATTTAATTGTGCCCGAGTTGCGAGATGTGACAGCCAGGCACATTCTAGGACTGGGGGGGCGGGGGGGGGGCTTGCACCCTCTGGGGTGCGAGTCGATATTCCAGGGGGTGCGAAACTTGGGTTTAGAAGTGTCATAATTGTAGTGTGTATGCATAACAATATGCGTACAATTATTTACTTTTGTAAGAGATGTGAGAATGTATCAGAAGCGTTCTAGGGGTGCGGGGTATAGAAAAAGTTGGGAACCCCCTATTCTAGGATGACCTTCCCTAGCATACTTGCTTGCAAATGATTCCTCGTTGTCGTGTAGGTGTGACTCACTGCTACGACACTTTCGTGCAGGTAGTCCTCTGCCTACAGCCATTTGTTTAGTGACCATTTGCGCAGCACCGAAAAAAGTGACGTCATTTTTTTCACACTTACGACCGTTGCAGACTCCCCGAGGTCACGTGATCAGAATTCGGGCGCTTGGTAACTGAATCACGTTTAGGACGGGTTGCAGTGTCCCTTTGACAACTTTCTGACAAAGGGGAGGCCAGATGGGCTTAACAACTTTTTAGACCAATGATAGTTAACTCTTTTGGCACTGAGTGGCGAAACCGGAGCGCACCGGAACCCAGAAGAGAGCAGCTGGCTGGTGCGCATGCGTGCGGTAGCCAGCTGCACTTCTGGGTTTTGTCACGCACATGCGTGATGGACAGCTGCTCTCTTCTGTGTTCTGATGTACACAGGACCTGCTGAATAGAATTCTATTAGAATGGAATGGAATAGAATAATGGAATGGAATAAGAATTAGAAATAGAAATAGAGGAATAGAATAAAAATAGAATAGATAGAATAATGGAATGGAATAAGAATTAGAAATAGAAAGAGGAATAGAATAGGAATGGAATAGAATAGAATAATGGAATTAGAAATAGAATAGCGTAGAGGAATAGAATAAGAATGGAATAGAATAGAATAATGGAATGGAATAAGAATTAGAAATAGAAATAGAGGAATAGAATAAGAATAGAATAGAATAATGGAATAAGAATTAGAAATAGAAATAGAGGAATAGAATAAGAATAGAATAGAATAATGGAATAAGAATTAGAAATAGAAATAGAGGAATAGAATAAGAATAGAATA